GATTTGGCTTTTCCCTACTCTTAAACTCTCCTCCTTTTGCCTCTCTCTTTAACCTTTTAAACTTTTCAGTAATTTTTGTTTTTTCCTTGCTGCTTCTCTCTTGACCGTTCTTACCTCCACACTCTCATTATTTAACAGCTGCCAAGGAAAAATAACCCTTCAGGTTGTTTGCTCTCTTCAGGAGTGAAACGTTTCAGAGACTGAGATAAACATTGTACCTATTTCCAAGCAATTTCGTTTTGCTTTTAAGCTTCCTCCTTTGTTAAGGTGTTCCTGTGGTGACAGGGAACTTTGGTGACCGTATAGGAACAGTTTCCCAACTTTAACCTTCAGATCCACTGTGATGCACACATTTCTTTCTCAATCTTCCCTGAGTGTAAACAAACTTTTGATTATAGGGAAAACGGACAAACTGTGGCTTGGAGGGAAAAAAGAGAAAAGCAACAGTTTATATTTGTCAGTAAAGAAGTTCTTTTATAAATGAAACTTCTGTAGGTGAAACTTTACCCTTGACTAAAGAATTTATTTTGTAACTTACAAAATAAACAACTTACATGTGCTTAATTTAGGCATGTATTTAAGTCCAGCTTTATTCAGCTAAGCTCAATACATGTGATGTTGAGGAGCAACATTAAATCCTATGTTTTCAGAAAGATCAATAATAATATTTATTGATACTCTGAACTGAACTTCACCCTGAAAGCTACTATTTTGTGAGTCCCATGCCAGCTCCCATATAAAAAAGCAAAAACCTTCCATAAAAAATAGTTTAGCGAGACTTGAAAGGGAAGTGTGATGTGATGGATATTTTGTGCTATGAGTATGAAGCCCAATGTTTTGGTTGATGAGCACTGAGCCAGACCTGGTATCGTTCCCAGAAGCCAACATGACGGATGAAGGAAGGCATCTTAAAAGTCTATTTCTGTTTTTTTTTTTTTTTCCCTCTCAGGTTCTGCTGCTTGCATGGACAGAAGATTTAGAATGTGTCCCTGGATTCCAGCAGAAGGTTTTTTATATTGAGGAGCCATTTAAATTCACACAGGACCAGCTGGTTCTGAACCGTAAGTTATTTTCATATATTACTATTGTGCAAAAATCAGAATTGTTTCTGTATTAATTTGATTCCTGCCATTTATCAGAGAGCTTTTTATTTTTTCATACCTAGGATTTTGAATATTGCCATGATTCTGTCTGGGTTCCCCTGCATTAATCCTGCACCTCTCCAGACTTTGCTCTGTTCCATGGACTAGAGATGACAAAATATGATATATAATCATTTAGGACTATATGAATATTGTGAAAACTTAGAACATTTTGCGTTTACTTTTAAAAGTAAACTTTTTTTTTTTCTTTTTATGGTCTTACCTATGAGCTTGAAAATCAGGGCTTGCCTGTCAACACTTCACTATTAAAGAATCTCTGCAGCTCAGGTTTAGTACTTTGTATCTTCAAAGTTTCTTTCGTACCTGGTGCGAGTCCAAGTCTTTACATGAAATTCAGAGGAGGTTTGATGGAGCTTGGGATCATCAGTGACTGCAGGATGGCGCTCCATGTGTCACACAGCTGGGGTGTTCAGCAATATTTCCCCTGACCAGGCGCCACATCATAAAATCCAATCTGGCACCAGGTACTCGAAGCATTAACCTGCAGGAGATTGAACTGCCTCTCAGCCCTGGTGTTATTTTATCCCCATATTTCAGTGTTACAACTCCTTCATTCCGTTCCGGGGCTTTGGGACCTCAACACTGTCAAACCGAGGCCGTGCCTTATCCACTGGTACCTCCAGATGCCTTTCAAGACTTGAAAGAAGATATAAAGTGCTGCCATTTTCAGTTCTCTCCAGATATTGCTGCTGCATATTGATGTGCTTTCACTGTTGGGCTCGTTTGGGTGAGGGTGTAATTAATCTGTGCACATTCACTTTCAAACAGCACTAACTTTTCAAAATGAAGTGGCAGAATCAGTTGCCAAAGCCTGTTGAAATGACTCCCTTAAGCTTAAGTTATTCAGCCTCTAACAGGTGCTAAAATAAACCTTTAGGAGAGCATTTTTTAGCCTCAGCGTTTCGATGTTGCTCAGTCTGGGCTGCTTTTTCACAGGAGATTTAGATCATGAATAATAATACTGCTCGGAGATGTGAGATGGTTCTTCAGTTTAGAAAAGAGATTTCAGACTTCTAATTTCTTGGGGCAGTTTTGTCGTCTTTGGAATTCTCATTTTGAAGAGTTGCCAAACACATTCCTACATGATTAAAAGTCAAAATCTTATGATGTAAGAAGCAGAATAGTTTTAATAGGCATGCAGAGTTAAAGACATGTGCAAAAAGAAGGGAATATTGATAAATTAGTGTTAAATGGAATGAAAATGGCCTTTGTTGTATGCTTTATGTGCTTCAGGCTGTGGTGTGTCTGCCCAGATCTCCTGCTGATTTGGAGAGGATCACCTGAAGGATGAGCTGGTTAAGCCAAATTGACTGGACTGTTCTGTGGTGACCCAGCAATTTGCACTGGCTTAAAACGAGCACAGTAATTAAGATGCCATCGTTAACGTGGGGAGGAGGGAAGAGCAGGAGGAGATTCAGAAATGCCTGGAAACAATCTTTGGAATTAAATTATTTTAATAAGCGGGCACTAAATTGGCCTAATGTGCAGTGTTGGACAAAGGCAGCCCGTCAACGCGCCGTCCTGGTTAATTCAATCACTCGCAGACTGCGTGTCCTTCATGCAGCAGCATTAAAACCTCAGCACAGTTTCTTCATTTTAGCTGTCAACAGAATTGATAATTTTAATTGTCAGTCTGAATACACTTTGCATGCTCTTGCATCTTTCCGTACCCATTACCGGGAGCGGTGTCATTCAGCGCTTCCACTGCAATGTGAGGCTTTCCAGGGCCGGGTAAATTAATAGAGCAAATATGCAAAGCAGACCCGTAGCAGTGATTGTTTTTGGAGTCCTCAATAAGCCAAGGAGCTCTTAATTCTTTTCTGAAGTGCAATAAAACAGTCTTTTTCTTTTCTTTTTTTTTTTTTTTCTTTTTTCTTTTTCAATTTAAACAAGGACTTACTGTACATTTCATTGCTGGCATCTCCCTCGTAATTAAATATAGGTTATGGATGGGTTTTATGTATTTATTGCTTCTACATATGGTAATGTTAATTATATTTTACATTTACTGGTGAGAAGAAGGAAGAGATGCCCAGACTGAGGGTACAGAATTTTCTCTTATTTCTTGTTTTGATTTGTAGCAATTCTTATCAAAGCCTACTTATAAGCTGACCATAAAAAGTCCAGTTGTGTGTCCCTCTTCCTATTAGTTTCACTGGAATTTCGTTTTTCTTAATTTTCCTCTCATTGTGGTCAGGCTGAACTTGCTTTTTAATTCTTATTTATTTATTCACCAGTGAATCTCATTTCACAGCAACCTCCAGACTTGGTCCATTTCATTTTCCCCTTTTTTTCTTTTTTTCCTCAGATCCCTTTATCTCCCTATAACTTGTGTTTTCTATGACCACAAACAAAATCAGGCATTGGTCTTCTACTTTTGACCTGCCCAATTTTTTTTGTCTGAGTGCAGTTTTCTTAAACCAGATGTTCTTTGACGTAATGGGAGAGGACCCATAGAGTCACTTTCTGGAAGCAGCAGAGGGTCTGTCCACAGGATTGTGATTTTATCAAGCAATTGTGCTTTTTTTCTTCCTTAGAGCTTTTTTTTTTTTTTTTTTTTTTTTTTTTTTTTTTTTTTTTTTTTTTTTTTTTTTTTTTTTTTTTTTTTTTTTTTTTTTTTTTTTTTTTTTTTTTTTTTTTTTTTTTTTTTTTTTTTTTTTTTTTTTTTTTTTTTTTTTTTTTTTTTTTTTTTTTTTTTTTTTTTTTTTTTTTTTTTGTTTACACCTAGGACCATCTTTGCAATCAAACAGAGAAGATTGCTGCATTCTTGATGAAGGGCTAATTGACAGCATTTAATTACAGGTTTTACACCTGTCAGAACAACTTGTGGCCAAGAAATGCTTCTCCATCAGGAAGCTTGTCTTTGGCAAGGCTGACAGGTCACTGGTAGTGACAGGGCTCTGTCACGCTGGGCTGATAGAAAGTTCCTAATCAGACTCATCAAATGTGGAAATGTAATTGTGTTACATTAATCACGTTTATACTTAACATACATCGGTCTTGGCTTTTGGGGGTATTTTTAATTGACAATGAATCAAATAGTGCACTTGAAAAATGGAGGCAATTAACATAAAGCACGAGGTGATGTGTTGTGAATACTAAACTGGGGAGTACATTGCCAGTGCTTTAAATGTCAAAACAAAGGAAGTTTTGACCCTTACTTGAAAAGCTTTAATTTGGATGTTAATTAATTCCTGACCTCTTATGTTTCGTACGTGATAGATGCATGTTCAGAGCTTGGGCTGCTTCAGGATCTGTCTGCATTTGGGTACTTTTTTTTTTTTATTCTGTGGATTTTAACAAAGACTTTTCTCTTCAACCATATTGAAAATTGTTTACTCATATGATGTGGCATGTGTTGGGCTGCTCATTAGTGCTTAGAAGCAACTCTTCTGTTGTCTAGCAGAGCTGTGGCCTCCCAGATTTCCTTTGTCTCAAGTGGATAAATGGTGTGGAAAGATCAGAGAACGTTCCTACTACTCAGTGTCGTGTACAGGGATCACAGCACTGAGCACACGGGGAAACTTTTCTTGTTGGCTCCAAGATGCTGCCATGGAAGATCTGTGGTTGATCCCACGCACTCTTCCTGCTGATTCCCTGCCATTTGACTGTACAGATGGCCTCTTCCCCTGGCTCTTTCATGTTCCCAGTGGCACTGCAGTTGCTCCTCTTGCTCGTTCTGATCCACGCAGAGTGTGTCACCGCACAATCTTCATTCATCTCCCCTCTGCCCTTTCCCCCGGGCTCGCAGAGAGCCAGGGTGGCACCCAATCCAGCCCTCTGGGACATGCCAAACCCTCCTTGGAGCTTTGACGCGGGTTTTAGGTGCCAGTGTTGACTCTTCATGCTGAATATTGCAGGGTTTGGGTGATTGGAACCGCAGATTGTGGTTTTAGCTTGTAAAAAGGCGTGCTCAAGCCAGGCATAATTTTAAGCTTAGTAATTTCTCACAGGGAAAACTGTCTAGACTTCTGGGTAATAGCTAGATAGCTGGATTTTTTCACCTATGCAGGTGTACTTGTCTGCAGTGTGTCCTTGCTGAAGCAAACTGGCTGTTCCAAATAAAGCAGTCTTTAAAGCACTTTGGATTTTACGAACGTCTTAAAATTACTTTCAATTCACATAAATCACTCTCTGTGTTAAGAATCTACTTCAGAAAACATTGAAAACTGACTTGGTTCCTGTTCCTTGGCATGTGGTAAGAGATTCTGTAAAAAGGCATCTCAACTTTCCTACCCAGATAGAGCTTGTTACACTCTAAAATACATCTTAATGGGCTCATATACATCCAGAGAATGTGAATACCAGAGCTTCAGTTCTGACACTTGGGTACATGATTAAGGCCAGGCATCTGGGACTCTGTTATTCCACATGGACAGAAATGTTGCTCAGGATTTGAAGCCACATATCTCTATCACGCTATTCCCCTGTTACTAAAATTCCAGGGGATATCTGGGAATGCGCAAAGTGGCTGAAAAATTGTAAGTTTAAAAGTGGGAGGTTTGAGAACTTTACAATGTGTTCCTGGAGGCAGAGTGAGGAAGATCCTTTTGCACTGGAATGCCTCAGGCATTGCCTTTTAATTGAAGTTTGATGCAGAACTCTCACGTGGAGGGAGAAAATTGTCTGCATGTGTGTTGCAAACGCATATCGTGACTAAATAATATGAAATGTCTCACAAGTGTCTCTGAATAGATGTCAGCAGGTTGCTGGTGCAACATAACGATATCATATCATCTGTTAAACTGCTCTCACACATGATCAAAGCAAAAAAAGAAAAAAATAGGAGAAAAACTTGTTGAGTTCGAGGTGGTCAGACAGTTCCCTTCCAAACAGTGCATGTCAGCTCATTAACAGCACCCAGGGGGAAATGAGTCAAATATAGACTGATTTTTATG